CGTTTTGTTCCTCGGAGCTGCTGCCCATTAGTATGCGGCGAGCGAGCGAGCGCGCCGGCCGCGCCACATGTGCGGGCAGCGCGGTGCAGAGCCCATAAATTACACTCGGGGCTCCGCTCCTGCACCTTTGACTGCTTCTCTAGGATTTGATTTTAGCCGGGATTTCTTTTTTTTTCTATTTTACTTCCTGCTACACGGTAGATTTCCTGATTTTCTTGCATTAATAGCGCTGTTGCACGGCTCTAGGGAGCTCTGGAGTACGCGTTTCTTTGAAATGCATCAGGGAAAGGGTAGATAGACGATCTCCCCCCTTATTTCGGGCTGCACTGTGGACTTCAAAGGGCAGTAGCAACTGTGGAGGTTCCTTATAGTGATTAGAAGCAGAAATATGTCTTTGAATGAAGTAATAGAAGACGGTAGGATTACTTAGTTGGATGATAATTGTGGCAAAATGATAAAATCTGGTATTTATTGCTTCTCTCTTTCTCTGCTCCTGCTTTGCCCCTGGAATTCTATTGTTCTTGATGTTTTAAGTTTTTTATGGCTGGGTTAAGTGGGGAAAGGTGAGGATCCTGCCGGCGTCCTGCCACCGAGTCACAGTTCACTTTTCTAAAACTATTCTAGTAACAGCTGGTTTGCAACCTTGAGAATGAGAGAATGAAAATATGCAGCAGTGTTACAAAGGAGACTGGGATTCATTAAACTCCTCCACTCTCAAGCCCTGATTCTGCAAATATTTAAGCACATACAGTGTTTCACATGCCTGAGTTATCCATTGAGTTCAGTGGGATTACTGCTCAATATCAAAACTGTTTACAGGGCACAGAATAGGCTCACTAAACCTGGTGAAAATTAGACTCTCTTTAGTTTCCTGTCTGTGAAAGAATGTGTAATTTGGCCATTTATATTTTTTGAGAAAATATTCTTCCTTATATGAAGCACAATGTAAAAAGACTGCAGCATTCATCCTGTAAAAACCTACAAATGGGTTTGTCAGTGAGTATCAAAGTCCACAGTTTATTTGCAGCATATTAAGCACTGTTTAAATTATATGCAAAAGCATAATTGGCTTATACTAGACTAAGTTGCAGTCTTCAGTTTTCCTGCCTGAAACTGGACATGTCAATCTTGTGTATATGCATATGTGAAATTGAAGAGAATGTGGGACTTACTTATCCATCTGAACTTCACAAAGGTTGAAATACCTTTTATCTGTGATGTATAAGAGGAATAGTTACTAGGTATATATTTTTATCTCTAAATTCATCTATATATATATGATGTCTCAGACAAAAAGAATATTATTTTTTCAGAAAAAAAGTCTCCCATTCTAAAATATCTTTTTTTTTCCCAAACAGTGCAAATATCACAACATTCTAAAATACTTAGTACTCATTTTAATGAAAAGTCTGTGCAGTAGGTACCAAAAGCAACTTTCAGGAAAGTTTATTTTGGCTGCATTAAAATAACCCTTATTCACTCTTCTTTGGAGGTATGCTAGGACTAACATTCAATTTCCTTTCATGTATAAATTAAATCATTATAAAATCCATAGGGGAAAATATAAATTCATAGGGCTATCTTAAATCACTGGCCTCACACAGTGAGAAATGAAAATACAAAAGCTTTGTTCAGTTTCAGACATAGGACCCAGTCCTGCAAACTTCAGCATAGAAGTGGCTTTAGCCATGTAAGTAATCCATATAGAAATCACTGGGAATTAACACTGGAATTCTAATACTTATGTGCTTGCATATTTGAAGGATCTGATCTCAGATAATAAATATATACTGAATTTTATAAAGTTTTAAGTTATAATAATGTAAAAAGAGTAAATGCTTTCATATAGTCCTCAACATTCTATTTGATCATAGACTTATTAAGAGCCAGTAACACAGAAATTGAATTTAATTAAAAGAAACTCAGGTATCTGTTATATTTTGCTATCAGTAATGCAGAGCCATAAACAGGAGAGCACTTGATGCGGCTGTGAAGATGAATATTCATAGTTCTGTCCCTTTGAAGTTAGGATATGCTTGTAAGAATGCTAGAGAAGAAGCTGATGGAAGGTGTGAGTACACAGCCAAGAGTTTATCAAGCAGATGATTTATAAGGTTGAAAGTTGAGGGACATTTGTATAAAACTTGATCTATATTAATGGGGCTGCAGTGCTTCATATCACTCTAAAGTACGTGCAGAATTTTGCATGCCAAAGCAAGGCGAAAAGGACTTGTGTTTCAGAGTAATCCCCAGTTACCCTGCTGGTAGGTTGTACAGTGATACATTATGCTCAAACATGAATTTATTTTCGGAACATGATCCAGACTTTATGACATGGTCTTTGAAATTCAGGCTTAAATTTTGCCGGTAGTGATAGCTGTTGATTTGGGATGTCCATTTATCATCGGAATGCGTAATGAAATGCTTTGGGAATTACTTCTATAAAAAATGAGATTAAATTTCAACAGCAACAACCAAAGCTAAACAGAACTTATTACAGAAGAGGCAGAGCTGGATTTTTTTTTTTTTTTAGGTAGAAATCTCTTCAGTCAAAAAAGAAAACAAAGCTTTTGGGGGAGATGCTAGGAGTTAAAAATCTGTCTCTATAGGTAGTTAGAGAACCCCTTTCATCATCTTCAGTATTGGAAGTAACTCTGGGATATTTTAGTTCGCGTGCTATAAGTTTAGTTCTTTGTGGGAGTTTTGGTGTTATTTCACTGAACAGTCCTAAAGCTAGTTTAACTCCATGCTGGGAATATTTGTCTAATGTAGAGCTGTATAATTTTAGGCATTATGTGCCTTTCCATAATACTGTCCATGAGTTACAGGTATCTTCAGGTTGTTTTTGGTAATGAAGGGAAATCCATGTGTGCAGCATCGTGTATCTTGATAACATTTGGCTTGTATTCTCAATATGAGTTTTAAACAAGTAATAGTACGTTTTTTACTGTTATGGTTACATTGCTGATTTTTTTACTGTTCTGAGTAAAAAAGAATTATATATGCTTATTCTCACATCTACATATATATATGTATATGTCTTTAAAGTAAACAAGCTATGCATACTTTTGTCTTGGGGTCATCTCTGCATTCCCAAATGAAAGTAAATTGATTTGAACCCCACAAAGGGAAACCTACTGGGATAATGAGGAATATACTAGAATTTCTTCTTTTTCTCCACAGTCTTATTAGACTTTCATTTTTAAAAGTCATGACTTATACAACTTTGGGAGCTTGTCCCACTCTTACACAAGGTGGAGATGAATGTCATGTCAAGGATGAATATTTCTGTGTAATGTTCAAAGTGAAATCAAGTGATCTGTAAAATGAGCGTTCTTACCTCTTTTTGTGCCAGAGCAGCCATGCTTAATTATTCTATGAGCTTTGTGCACAGGAGAGCAGGATCTAAGGGAATCTGGCTCATTATTTTTTGGGAGGTATCTTTGTTTGATGGCGTTTTGCATTTAAAGAAATTTAGATCAGATAAACTAGAGATCTGCCTAAACAATATAGCAAGTTTTCAGTGGTTTTCCTTCGCAGACCTGCTAGTGTTTGCTTTTTCCTTCTCAGCATTTTGTAACATACTGTTGTGGGTTGGTAAAATGAGACTGATGAGTGTCATGTCTGTGTAAATTAAAAAAAGTGGTGAATTGTAGGCATCATTTTAAGCAATTGGTCTGAAAGTTTATGCAAAGAAGAAATACTTTTGTCTAGTGAATATGAGAGGTTAACAACCAAGGAATCAATAAACATAAAGTAAATGGAAATATTTAATCTTACTGTAATGAGTGTGGATTGGACATTAGAGTCCTAATGGTATCAGATAACTGTATAAGAGATACTCTACCTTTTAACTCCACGTGTGCTTCTTGAGGACTTATAATGTTAATTATTGGAAGTTCAGAATTAAAGTTCAGTAAAGTTCAGTAAGTTTTGTAATGTCTGTCTTGTGATACGATAGGCAAAGACTTAAAATACCATCTGTAAGGAAACTAATGCAGTGTTGCACTGATTGAAATTTTGTAGGTGGCGACAGTGGATTGGAAGGGTTAGGAGGACCAGGAGTGCAGCTTGGAAGTCCTGATAAGAAAAAGCGCAAAGCAAATACACAGGTAAACTGCCTCTGGTTCTTTTGATTTCTTAATAAATAGCGTGTCTGGATGTTGTTTTCGTTGCTCAGAATGTCAGTCCATTCTCACAAATAGAAGCTTTACTAAAGTATTTTTAATGTAAATGCTAAGTTGAAATCTCCGCTTTCATCATCCTTATGAGTCTTCATAGCCCTAGTTACTTTCACCAAAGTTATTTTAGATCTCTGTAGGTTGCCAAAGTCCTATAAAGGGAGGAGCTCAGTGAGACTGAAATGACTGTGTTTGACCATATGGATTTGATTGTGAGACAGACTCTTACTTTAATGACTTAGTAGCCATTGGCAGAAATCTGTACAAAGTGATTAGCTGCCATGAGAGCACTTTTCTTCTTACCCTTACTTCTATATATGTAATAGCTAATAAGGCTAAGAATGTGTACAGTTTGCTAATATTCTGTCCAAACTTTTGCCATATTTTCCTGATGCTTTTCAAGTAAAGGCTGTGCTGCAGGTTCGGCTGCTTTCCAATGAATCTCCACAATTTAGCATTTCTAAGTAGCTGCTATTTCCAGAAAAGGAATCCTAGATACAAAACACTTAATGCAATTAGATGCCTATGATACAGAATTTTCCTTTGTGTTCATTCAGCTTTATGATTGAGAGTACCTGTTAATTTTGTACTGCCCACTGAGAGTAACTTTATTTATGTAGGTCAAACAGTCACTTTCTTTTAGGCCTGTTATCCATTTAGATATGGATCGGTTTCCTTAATTTTTGTTTTGTTTTAAAATAGTCATGGTGAAACTTGTTCTGAGATAATTTCAGGCTTTTTGTGTCTTTCTGTTGATTAGAACAGAAATGTGGGGAAAAAGATTGTTTCTTCAGTCTTCACTTATCATTGCTTAGGGTGAATTGCACATTCTGTGAGTACAGTTAGCATCATGGACAGAGGTGAGAGTGAACTGGCTAGATGTTCCCCATAGGCTAGTCTAGAATGAGATTCAGTTGTACAGTCACTCTGATGACATCGAAGCAGTATCTGAGTTCCAAAACATGATTATTCCTTGTAACCAAATTTAATTGTATTTTCATAGCTACTAATGATATCTTCCAGACCATCCTGACAATCACTGAATGCCCGTAGGCCTAGGAGGCTCTTTTGTCTGGCACATAGAAGATAGAAAATTCCCATATGCAAACTACTCTGTACTTTTTGTGGAGGAGGAAAGGAGGGAAGGAATATCATAACATTAGTATTTTAATTTTCTATATCCTTATAGAAATGGAGTGTCTTCAGAGGTACATATTCAGTAAATTGATCCCCAAATTAAACTAAGGAAATGCTGTAAATCTCTTTAAAGCATTTGAAGTATTTTGTGCATGTGTTTAAGTAACACATTGTTTTCTCTGTTCCCTCTTGCCTTAAGTGAAGATGAAGTTACAAGTTATACATTAAGTAGTATTTTCAACAGCCTTGTTGTGCAAATGCACAATTCTTAAAATATTGACATTACTATAAATCACTGTGTTATCCAGGGCCCAAACTCTTCTCTTGCCTCCCCACTGCAATTTCAGGCAGCCTAACAGGGTGTAGTGGTGAGCTTTGCATAACAGCTGAGTGGTTCTTTCAGCAGTGGTGCTGCTAATCCAGGACCTATGTGGTTGGTCTTCTTTCAGGAACATATTAAAGCTAATGAAAATGTTGTATTTAAAATATTTTTAGGGATCATCATTTCCTCCTCCATCTGAATATGCTCCACCGCCGAATCCAAGCTCTGACCACCTTGTAGCTGCAAATCCGTTTGATGACAACTACAATACTGTGTCTTATAAACCACTTCCTTCAGGAAATCCATATTTTAGTAATCCTGGTTATCCGGGCTTTGGAGGCTATAACACTTTCAGAATGCCGCCTCACATGCTGCCCAGAGTGTCCTCACCATACGGTGGTTCTTATGCTCTCAGAAACCAGCCGCACCCCCTTCCTCAAAACCCTGTGGGAATGGGTTTTAGCCGACCCCACTCCTTCAGCTTTGGCCCACATGATAACCCAGGTTTTGGGAACCAACCACCTTACAGCGGTGGTCAGATAAATCAGAATGTTGGTATTCCTGGTCAACATTTCAGATCAAATCCTGCTGAGAACTTTGGTCATTCTAGTCAGATACCTCACCCTGATGTGCCGACTAACTTTGGTCCTGGAAATAATCCAAATTTCCCAAATTCTCAGCTAGATTCAAACCATTCTTTTGTTCCTCCACCAAACTCTTACAACCAGACAAAATCATCGGCACAAAAGCAAGACTTCAGTCAAGGTGCAAGCAAAGCATCCAGCCAGAACACTGCTACTCATCAGCATCATCACAGGACAGAGGACATTGTGAGTCAAGGTAACAGTGACCTAAAAAATGTTACTCGAAACAATGTGGTAAACCAGGATAACAGCCATTCTAATAGTGCTGATAACACTAATACTGGTCATTCAAATGGGACTCAGAGCAAGTCCCGCCAGCCTCGAGGTACCACCGAAGGATGCAATTCTGAAAAAGGCAGCAAAACACCCCTTCATCCCAGTCGTCATGGTCACTCATCCACTGAACCTGTCTATCCGTGTGGGATTTGTACACATGAAGTTAACGATGACCAGGATGCTATCTTATGTGAAGCCTCTTGCCAAAAATGGTTTCATCGCATCTGCACGGGCATGACTGAGTCAGCGTATGGCCTTCTCACAGCAGAAGCATCAGCAGTGTGGGGTTGTGACACGTGTATGGCTGACAAGGATGTCCAGTTAATGCGCACAAGGGAAACTGCAGGCCCCCCTGCGCTGAACACGGATGGCTAACGACATGAATTGGTGATAGTGGCTGAAATACTTGTTACAAAGGTTTGGTCAAATGCAAATTTGGTATGTCGCTTTCTGCAGACAATCAGTTCTGTTTGATTGCTATTTTTTTTTTTTTTTTTTCCTTAGTCTGTTTTCATTCAAACTTACATCTCAATTTTGCTATTATTAGTTTCAGGTGTGCAAATGTTCTACTGTTTAATCAGAAACAAGGAACACTTGATCCTGTAAAATGTAACTGAGATCTGATCAGAAGGATGACGTGCATATAAAATTTTACTGAAGACAGAAATATGCCAGTGTGAATAGCCTCTATTCACTTGTGCTAGTGTGTTAACTAAAACTAGCTTTTAGTGCTCAGTTTTGATGGTACTATACTTGCAGGTGCTCATTACTTTTTTTTATTATTATTATTGGTGAATGTCCATTACCGATAATCTTGCTAATCTTTCTTTGAAGGCAATGGAGGTGACATGGAGGAATGTGCTATATTAATAGTTTTTATTTTAGGGATAAATACAGAAGATTTCATCTGTCAAATAACTGAATCTTCATTTTTAAAATAATGCATTAACACTATTTTTAAATTTAACTTCATGCCTAGCAACACAGTGAAGCCCACTAACTCGCACCTTTATGCTTCCTTGAGAAGGCAGTGGAGCTCTGACTTCTTAGCAAATAGTTAATTGCTGAGGACACCTGCAAGGTCTTGCACTACTTAAAAATAGTTTAAAAATATGTTGGCATTTAAGCAGATAGAAAAGATCAAACCTACAAAGTTCAGTGCTTTATATCTAGAGAATACCAAAACTAGGGTTGCATGTGTAACCTTAATTAATGTGTCTTAAGCATATACATCAGGATACAGTCTCTGCTTCTTTCGTCATCGTTCAATCATTCACCTCTGCTCCTTTGTCATTGAAAATTTTAGTGTCCAGCGTTGATGCTGTCCAAGAATTGTGAATGAGCTAATGTAGAGAAAGTGCTGCCCATCTCCTAGGGCTTTGAGCGAGAGCCTGCTCCATAAACCTGAGCTTATGCAGTCCAGCTAGCATGAAGAAGGGTGTGAAGGAATGGAGTGCGCTCAGCACAGACTGAGCTGCAAGATAATTTGGTCAGCAAAGTCTTAAAATTGAAATCAGCCAGTCTTTCAGTTTGGGGGGAAACAGGAAAAATCCAGGGTGACAAAAAATATAACTTAGATTACAAGGTGAGAGTTTACTGCCTATCAAGGGTGAATATTTGGAAGTTTAGCTTTCTTGCTGGACTTGAAATCCTTCTAAAACACATGAATAGCACTAGAGCTTCATGTGTGACTGCAAGAATTCTCTTCTAATATGGGTAATTTGATCTTATTCTTGATCTCTTTTTTGTTTGTTTTGTGTTAGTATGGATGACTTGAACACTTTCGGCCTAAGCAGCTGGTGTGGTAAAGTGCATAGGCAATTTTGTTTTTACTTAATAAAGGTGGTACTCTGATAACAGACTCTGCTCGTAATACTCACCACTGACGGGAATTTTTGATTGCCAGTCATCTGAAAACTAAATAATATGGCAAGCTACTAGTCACATTCCTTAATGTGATGGAAGATGTTCAGATCTGTGGTGATTAGTAATGTAAGAGCCTATATAAAAGACAAATCTGTATATATAAAGTTACTTTTTACAGTAAAGTATTGTTTGAATTCAGTGGACCCTACTGTAGTAATAAAATTTCTTGGGAGAAACATTTTCTGCTGATACACATAACCCTGTTGTTTTAATACTGAGAACCTTTATATACCATCTTTTACCATGGAAACGTTAAGTGCAGTATCCCCCTTGTTTGTGTCTTGCCTCTCATTAGGAAAGAGAAAGTAATGTCCAAGGTGTGAAAGAGAGAATTTCTATCTTGAGGATTTCCTGTATGGAATCATAAAGAAAGAGGAATGCAAGGCTCCTGTATTCAGCACTATTTACTTTGTTTAGTACAGAGATTAAACTTAGTTTTGTTAGGGGTTATAATGTTAAATAAATTTAAAAAAAAAAAAAAAACTCTGAAAAAATATAGTAGTTTTCCTAGTAACTAACTGACTTCAGTTAGAATTTCCTTTTGATATCTAAAGTAGAAGCTAAGCCAAACCTTGTTTAGATAACTTTGTTCCTGTGGGAAATAACTTTATTTCTGTTACAGCAGTTTGCACTGCAAAGGTTATGGAGCTGATTCCGAATTGCAGCAATGTAAATCAAAACAGAACTTTGTTTCGGTGTTTGGAAATTCAGCAGAAGATCTGGTGATGTTGCTATTATCCCAGCATCTTGCTCGCAATGCTCTGCACCCCTGCCCCCAGTCCCTAACATGATGGGCTCTAGATGTTTCAGGGCATTTGTTCTCAAAAGTCCAATTAATGTTAAGATTTTGGAGCAGACACTATACTTTAAAAAACTATGTGTTTGTTAACCTTTTCGATCAATCCTATGTAAAGTTAGGCACGTGCTTTCTATATTAGTTAGCAAGGCATTAGAATACAAATATAGTGTTCTTATGAACTTTTTTTTAAAAAAGGAATATAATTTGATAAGGCCTAAATTGTGTGCATCTGAAAGTTATTCTAACAAATTATTTCAGTTTTTCTAAACTGGTACCCTGTTGGGTTTGTAACCCAGTGAATTTTCTGTGCATACCAACTTGCAGATTCACGACATTAGTAAATGCCAATTTTAAAATATCAAATAAAATGAAACAAAACCTGTTACAGCACTGATCATAGAAACAGGACTGAATAGGATCTCAAAGTCATTTAGCCAATATGCTTGCCCTACTGATACACTCCTGGTGTACCTGGATTCTTTACTTAGAGAATTACACTTTTTCTTTTCTTTTTTTTCTTCTTTTTTTTTTTTCTCTCTTCCCCTCTGGGTGTGTTGACTAGTAGTAGTTCAAGTATGCACAGGAAAAAGAGCAATCATGTCTTATTAGTACAGTAATAGGAAAATGTCAGCTGGGTAGAATTAGAAATTAGTTATAGAAATGTTGGTGGGAGGGAGGGTGGGCTGATTAGAATAGGTGAGTTTTTTGTAATACGCTACATGATACAACTTGTATTGAACTATCATGTGATTCTTTCATTATTAGTGATTTAGACTGCACTGGTGCTGCACACCAAAATATTGCAAGGATTTTGTAAATCTTAAACCTGAAGATTTTTGTGGGAAGGGCCTGTGTCCTTTTCAAACTGTTCTCTTTCATGCTTGGAAGTGTAGCCTATACTGTGCAAATTTCACCCTGTCTCACCCCCATTTTTTTTCTCCCTAGGCTCAATAAACAGCTGTAAACTGGATTGAACAGCCCTTAATGCTGGCAAACTGACTTGCTTTCTTTTTGTTAGAGACCAATTTTAAATGAGAAAATATGTAATTTACTTTTAAAATACTCATTTTGCTGTAAGTGTCAGTATAAGTGGTAGTGGTCATAGGCTAGAAATGGGGTATCAAAAATCCTGTTTCTTGCTGTTTTACTGATCCCTTGTGCAGCTTGAGGCGAATGGGTTAACGTTTGTGCCATAGTCTGTTCTTTCCTGAGACTGGACTAATGCTTCCAAGGGTGTTTAGAGGTTTAGTTACTACTAGAGATCCTACGATGAAAGATACTGAAGAAGTAAAATGTAATATGATGAAACTTTGCTCTATTAAAAAGAAAGGTATAAATTAGTTACTATATTTATGGGCTGCTCAAACAGGAACATGCTTTGTCACTTTGTTTTTCCTTTTTTGACTAAGCACTAATTCTGTAAGCACACTTTCAGGCTTCACTTCAAGCGTGTAAGACTTCCTGACAAAGTCAGTAGAACTGCATACAGAAAGCCAAGAACATTTCAAAGTGTTGGCAGTTCTCGGCCCGTGGCTTTTTCTGTAGATATTCTTAGGTAAAATGCTTTTGTGGTTTGAAATTTTTGCAAGCTCAGTGGTGTTCAAATGTAGCACCTCTAACATTTTTCTTTCTTCCAACTTAGTACAGATAATATACATCTGCATAAAATATATCCTTTTCATTTTATACACCAACATTGTCTGCCAGTAAAATTATCAGTGTAACATTTTTTTAAAGGAAGTCATGCTTCTTATCATGTTGTATGTGACTTAAATGACTGTTTCATATTAAAACTAATCTTTCCTTATGTACTGCTTAAATATACCTGTTTTGGGATATCAGTTCAGTACTTTTTATACAATCTTGAATGTGTTCCACATTGGTGACATGTATTTTTGCAACAGCTTTTTTTGTTTTAATTTTAAATTAGAGCATGTCTGAAGTAATACATGCATTAGTTCTGTAGTGTGTGGCAAAGTAAATGTATGTAATTCAAATTGGAGAAAAGTTTCCAGACTTTGTCCAACATTAACCCTGTGGCCAGGGATTAAATTACTATGTAATACAAATTATTTCATATCATGATGTGTTTTTTAAGCTACTCTATGAAGTACATGAAACATTATTGTTTATGGATTGGTAGCTGGCCTGATATCTTGCATAGAATGAGGTATGATGGATGGTAACAGTTCATGATAATTAAAACTGAATACCTTTCAGAACATGCAGCATTTATGTGCATTGTCATCTTGTTGCCATAACATTAGTGTGAGTTTTTTAATATTAATCCACTGACAACTGAGTGCACATTTGGTACTATGCTTATGGTTGTGGAGATTCTATTCTAACACTCCATAATTGTTTTAAAAAAAGTAATTTTTTAGCTATTGGATGTGAATAAATATATGCAGGAGGATGTAGAACTCGATGTATTTTTAAATTATTCTGCAATTGCTAAGTTTTGTCTGAAGCTTTCTATATTAGAATAGACTCTTCCTGAAATTTGGAAAATTAAGTGTACTTAGCAGAGATCTGAAGGCAATATAGCTTTGCTAGGCTACATCTTGAGTTATGCACATTCTCTTCTTTGCATGGAAATCCTATCATCTCTTGTTGGCTTATGCCTTACGTGGAAATAAGGGGTTTCTTTGTATCCTAGTGTTGCACATTATCATTTTTAAGTTAACTAATTGAGAATGCTAAGCCCTTTTCAGGTGCTGCCTGTAGCTTAAAGAGTATTCACTGTGCCCCTTAGTTTATTGGTTGAAGAAAAGCTTATACCAGGATTGTAGGGAATACCTATGTTTAACATTCATGATGGCTTTCCTTTTTGTCTCTTTTGGAAATAATTTCTGATTCAGCCTCATCTTTTCCCTCAGAGTCTGTGCACTGTACTTCAGAAATTGCTGTGTTGGCGACAGTTTGGTGAGTGGAGTCACGAGAGGTGTTGTGTCTGGTCCTAGACACCAACCTCATCTGCTGTTACCTGGATGTTTGACAGAGAACAGGCTCAGTCTGAACTTTCATATAATTTAGGGAGGGCAAACTTTTTAATATATTTGCTCTTTAATATTTTTGCCTTTCATTTTTTTTTCTTTTGTCTTCCTGAAATGTAAAATAATGTATAGTTGCTTTTTACTTGATAGCCAATCTCTCCACCAAGCCTTTGTTCATGGCCTTTAGAACAGACACTGTGTTGTTTAGAGCCTTCTAAACTTGGTATCTTTTTGGCATTCTCCTTTCAGCGTTAAAGGCTAGCTGAAAAAGGCAAGTTACCAATCTACTGCCATCCAAACAGTACAAAATATTAGCTGATTAAGATTATTGCCTTTTTTTTTTTTTGTTAATAATGATGTGATACATGACCCTTTAGAAGATATATCAGGATCGAAATCAACCATTCTTGGAAAATGTATATGGTGGATTTTGTCCAGCGCTGTATGTAACTGTTGTTTTCTGGTTTCAGTTTCCTTTAAAATAAAGCTGACTTGTGGGGAATTTGCCTGCTGATTTCATGAAGATGATGTAACACATAGATTAAATTTTCTAGTTTTTTGTCTGAGGATGCATTTGGATTGGGTATAATCCAGGGCAAGAAACAGTTTGAGATCTTACTCATCAGAAGAGACAGCTCCTACTTTAGCTCTTGGAGACATCTGCTGTTCTGTGGCGGCAATAGAGTAACCTGAAAACAGTTTAGAAGAGGTCTTGCACCCTGAGCCCCATTTCTTTCTCACTCGGGTATTGTTTTGCTGCACTGGTTGTAGATTTTTCTGCACTTGGAAAACAGTTATGTGAAGAATTACTTAATCCAATTTGCAAAATTAATGCTAAACTACTGAAATGTCAAAGCTAACACATGGTGAATCAGAACCTTAATTTTTAAAAGCAATTAGTATGGGCACAAGCCATACACTCAAAACAATGTTCACTGAAATAAAAATAATCTCGATATATTCCTGCTCTTTCTAAAAATATGCATGGGTAAGAGAAAGAAAGAAATGATAAAGGATGAGAAAAGTCGTTCACTAAATTATGTATAAGAAAATGTAAACTAATAGCTTTTTTTTTGTAGGTATTAAAGCCTCTGAAGCTGTTAGAAATGACCTAACACCTTAAAAAAAAAAAAAAAAAAGGCGTGTGTATGTATACGTTTATGTATACACACACACACACATCTAGAGAATCAGAAGGAGTATTAATAAAATTTGACAGGCATGTAAATCTGCATCCCTCAGAGCACAGGAGGCAATTTATCTCCTTTTTTCTTGCACTTTTGCCTGGTAAATTAGTATCGATGGAAGAAAGATCCTGAATGGACCTCTAGTCTAGTATTCTCACGTGGCTTATTTTGCCAAAATGTCATAGCAGAAGTTCAGTCACTTTTCCAAGTAAAAAAAGCAGTGTCGAATGCATATGAAGTTGATGATGTTTCTGCAGGTATGTATCAAGTGATTTAGAAAGCTGATCCAAGATTTTGTTTTGTCCTATTTCTCTACATGGTACATCAGCTAAATCAGCTACATGAACGTAGAATTTTTTTTTTCTCCTTACATGGTGGAGCTATTATCTATAATTTAAGAACAAAATACAGGTAATTGTATATATAGTATTCTTTTTGTCAAGAATAAGTAATAAACTGCTCTGTGTAGTAATTTCTCAGTGATTAGACTAAAGCAACACTTTGGAAGACTAAGTAGAAAACAGGATTCAACAGATCTAACAGTCCTTACTGTCTGTGAATGAAATATCCCAAACTGAAGGATACATTCTGGATGTACATATCCTTTCTGGGCTGGCAGGGGATTTGAGTGACTATTGCATTACTTTTTTTTTTTTTTTTTTTTTTATCAAGGTGTTATAAATAGCAGCATTGGTTAAAACAAAACCCCTTATTTTCCCCTGCCTTTCCCCACTTAGACTGAAATCTATCTGTGGAAGATGATGAGACTTCTTATTGCAAGACTCTTATTTAGGGATGCAGATCTGCCTTAGAAGTCCTACATCGTGCAAGTTAAAAGTCATAAAGGGTGCCTTGCCTTTCAGTTTATTTATTTTTAACCTTAAGCCTTTGGGTGCTCTTAGAATGAGGATTTTAATTTGCATCCGAGTCCAGTCCATGCAAGCAACTGATGACATTGATCGTGGTGAATGCAGGTGGAGAATAATCAAGCAATTGTATCAACGTGGATGCATTTCTTGCTCTGAATGTTTTAAGCCTCAGTGGTTCCTATTTCTATAGGCAGTGAACTGCAGTAGTTGCTCTCAGTAACCACCTGCTTGGAATATAGCGTTAAATCCTGCGCTCTTTGTGGTGTAAGTTGGACCTTAAAAGGACAACTTGGCCGTCTCACTTGGTGTGTGCAATGTTAGTCTCTGGCCACAATAGAAGAAAAGAAGGGGAAGACGGGGTTTCCTGCCGTTTGGCATCTGTTTATTTATTTATCTATTTATTTATTTATTGCTTTTTATTATTTATTTATTTATTTATGAGGATAAGAAGGCTTCGGGTATCGTTTGGCTGCACTGGTTGTAGATCTTTCTGCACTTGGAAGAAGATTATGCAAAGAATTATTTATTACAATTTGCAAAAGTCATACCACTTATCTATCTGCGTGTTTCCTTTTTTATTTATTTAACGCGCTAGCCGCGCGCCCCGCAGGCCCGCGGCCCCGTCTCGCGCTTCCTGGGGCGGCGCTGGGCTGCGCTCCCCCCCG